CCCGGGACTCGGACCGGCCCTGGCGTCGGGACGCTCCGACACCGCGGACAGCCAGCCACGCCTACGCCTAGACACGTACGCGGCCCTGCAGTGACACCCGCGCGACCGTCAGACGCCGCGTCACTTAGTCGCCCGCACACCCCCGCCAGCCGCCCCGCCCCTCCGTCTTCAGCCGCGTCCTGCTGGGGTGTTGCATGGAGCAGCGCCAGGGCGCAGTGACCCCTGGACCAGGCTCCCTGTTCAGCCTGCCTGGGTCCTCGTCCCCTGTCCGTCCGTCCCCCGCAGCATCTCTGGGCCTCAGTCCCCACACCTAGTCCACCTAACAAAGCGTAAAAGCCAGCCTTGAAAGGATACCGTTGTTTTACGGACCCCCTCTCACCATAATAATATCAGTATTAAATAATTGTTTTTTATGTAACAACTTCAACCTTTAGCTTCTGCTGTTTTACGCAAAATTGAAGATTTTCGTGGGCCCTAAAATTTTCATTTTTTTCCTAATGTGAGAAAGCAAATAGATTTTTTTTGACGCTGAGTTCTTTTTTTTTTTTTTTCTTTACTAGATGAGCCATTTTTGGGCCCTAGGCCCTGAGCCTCCAGAGCCGAGTGGGCAGTACTGTGCAGGCGGACAGGAGTGATCGGTCCCCCTATCTGCCGAATAGTCACCGAGGTGTCCCCTGTGCCAGGAGTTGGGTAACGGTGGGGAATAAAACTGCCAAACGTTTCCAAATATCCCGCATGCATGGGGCTCACGCTCTAATGAGTGTAAAATAAACACAAAGGTCCAAACCGGAGCATGTCCTGCGCTCCAGCATCAGACCGCGATGAACTAACGGGAGCTGGATTTTCCGCCCTGCCTTAAACAGCTAAGAAACAGGGCTAAATAAACGAAGCATCGTCTTTCAGACGTTGCCCGGCGGGCAGCACAGGGCAGTGATCCTGGAGGGGAGGAAACAGATGGTGGAGCCACAGGGCGCAGTGCAGGGAGGGGCCCAAACAGAGCCGCCGTCTCCCTGATTGAGGAGACAGAGCGGGGAGCGCAGGGAGGCCCCGGCAGCTAGAGTTCACAGGGCGGAGCGTGGAGAGCGGAGAGCTGCCGGGAGGGAGGGCTGGGGAGGTCACAGAGTCTTCAACGGAGTTCCATTAGTGCACGTATTGGAGGAACTTACCCAAAGATCTGCAAGGAACCGCTGGGAAGGAGCAAGCCAAAAAGTTCCCAGAGCTCACACAGGGCTGGGGGGAGTTCACCTGAACTGGGAAGAGAAACCCTGGAATAGAAGGGTGGGCCGTGGGGCAGAGTGCTGGGAGGGAAAGTGCCTCAATCACAGCACCAGCTCAGCCCTAGATGAAAGACTGCACCTGGGCTCACCTAACAAAGCTTGAAAGAAAGCCTTGAAAGGGTCCAGTCGTCTCCAAGTAACTTAACTGCATCCTAGGACAAAGCTCAAAATTATTTTAAAAAAGAACATAATCCAGCACCCAACAGTGTAAAATTCATCCAGTTAAGTGTCTGATACCCATCTGAAAACACCACTGGCATGCAAAGAAGCAGAAAATGTAACCCATAGTGGGGAGAAAAAATCATTAGAAACAGACCCACAAATGACACAGATGATACGATAAGCAGGCAGGGACATTAAAACAGATATTATGAGTATATTTCATATATTCAAGAAGGTAGAGGAGAGCATGAGCATGTCAGGGGAGCCATGGGAAAGAGAAAAAGACACAATTGAACTTCCAATGATGAAAAATGGGTCTGAGATGAAAAATACACTGGATGACATTAACATTGGATTGGACTTTGCAGATAAAAGATGAGTGAATTTGAGGATAAAGCGTTAGAAACTACTAAAAAAGAATCACAGAAAAAAAGACTGAAAAAATGAGCAGAGTGTCAGGCAGCTGTGGGACAACTTCACATGGCTTAATATGTGTAATTGGAGTTCCAGAAGGAGAGGAGAGGAGGAGGGGAAAAGAAGACATTTTGAAAGAAATAATAGCCAGAATGTTTCCAAATTTGATGAAAACTATAAACCCATGGAACCCAGAAACTCAGTGAACCCCAAGCGCAAGAAATATGAGGAAAACGACACCAAAGCACATCGCAATCAAATAGCTTAAAGCCAGTGATAAAGAGAAAACACTAAAGGCAGACACTTTGTAATGCACAGGAGGTCAAAGGTAAGGGTGACGGCAGATTTCTTGTCAGAAACAGCCCAAGGCAACATAGCGAAGCAATGATTGAAATACCAAAAACAAACACAAACTATGTAGAATTATACGCCCAGCAAAAATATCTTTGAAAAGTGAAGGTGAAATACAGACTTTTTCAGACAGGCAAAGGCAGGAGGAATTCCTCAGCAGCAGACTGGCACCACGAGAAATGTGGAAGGAAGGCCTGCAGGTGGGAGGGAGACTGCGCTAAACGGAAACACCCATCCACGCAAAGGGATGAAGATGCCCAAAATGGGAAAGAGAAGGGCATTGTTTCTTATTTTTAAATACTTTAGAAGACAATTGACTGCTTAAAGCAAAAATGATAAGGTATTATGGGATTTCTAGGAAATGTGGAAGTAAATTGTGTGACGATAGTAGCACAGATGGGCCAGGAGAGGGAAGATGGACGTGCACTGTTGTAGGTTTATCATACTGTCTGTGACATGGTGTATTTCTGGAACATGGACTGTCATAAGTTAAAAATGTGTACTATGAACACTAGAGTAGCCAACAAGAAAAGAAAGAAAAGAAATATCAGAGAGCACTCCCTAATAAGGCAACAAAGGAGAGAAAATGGAACCATACAAAATTAATCTGTGAATCGAAGAGAAGGCAGAAGAAGAGGGAAAATGAAAAAGAACAGGTGGGACAAAGAGAAGACAAATGGCAGGATGAGAGATTTAAACCCAACTACACCAGTAGTCACACCAAATGGTCCAAACACCCCAATTAAAATGCAGAGGCTGTCAGATTGGATAAAAAGAGAAAGAGCCAAATATATGCTGTCTTCAAGAAACCCACTGTACGGATGAAAACACAATAGGTTACAAATCAGAGGGTGGAAAAGATATACCATGCTAACGCTAATTAAAAGAAAGCAGGAGTGACTACATTTAACATCAGATGAAGTGGGTTTTAGAGCAAAGAATATATCCAGGAAGAGGCCCATTACATAATGATAAAGAGGTCAGTTCATTAAGGGGACATAGCAATCCTAAATGTTTATGCATCTAACAATTGAGCTTCAAAATACATGAAGCAAAAAACCCTGAGAGAACTGAAAGGAGAAAAAGAAAACCCACAGTCAGAAATTTCAACACTCCTTTCTCATGACTGGTGGAGGAAGCAGACAGAAAATAAATGAGGATAAAGGAGACTTGAACAACATTACCCGCCAATGTGACCTGCTTGATATGTCGATGACTGTCCACCCAGCAGAAAGAGGACATGTTCTTCTCAAGTACACACAAAACATTTACCAAGATAGACTGTGTTCTGGGCCATAAAACAAATCTCAATAAATTTACGAGGATTGAAATCACACAAATTATTTTCTTGGACTACAGTGCAATTAAATTAGAAATCAAGAATAGAAAAATAGCCATGAGATCCCCAAATATTTAGAAACTGAGCAACACATTTCTAAATAACTCATGGGTCAAAGGAGAAATTTAAAAGGAAGTTAGAAAGTATTTCCAAGTGAATGAAAATGAAAACATTATCTATCAAAGTTAGTGGATGCCATGAAGGCAGTGTTTAGACGCAAAGTTTTAGCACCAATGCTTGTATTAGAAAAAAGGAAGGTCTCAACACGACGACCTATGCTTCTGCCTTCAGAAACTAGAACAAAAAGAGCAAATCAAACCCCAAGTAAGAAAACAAAAGAAATAATAAAAATAAGAGCAAAGAAAAAATCAATGAAATAGGAAAAGAAAAACAATAGAGAAGATCAGTCAAACCCAAAACTGATTCTTGGTGAATATCAATATGATTTTTAACCTCCTGGCCAGACTGATCAGAAAGAAAAGAGATGAGACAAACCACCGATATCAGGGATAAGAAAGAGGGCATTGTGACAGGTCCAGGTCATGATGACATTAAAAGCATAATAAGGGAACACTATGAATAACATTATGCCAATAAATTCTACAACTTAGACAAAACGGGCAAATTCCATCAAAGACACAAGCTAGCAATGCTCACTCAAGAAGAAATATATAACCTGATTATCCCTCTGTCTTTTGAAGAAATTGAATTTGTAGTTAAAAATCTTCCCATAAAGAAAACTCTAGTGAATTCTACAAAGTGTTTAAGGAAAGAATAATACCAATTCCATGCGACTCCTTCCAGAAAATGAGGACTATGTTCTACTCATCTAGGAGGCCGGCATCACCCTGATGCCAAAACCAGACACAGACATTACAAGGAAAAACACTCAGACCAGTATCCTTCATGGGCATAGATGCAAACATTAAAATAAAGTGTAGCAAATGAATTCAACAATATAAAAACAAAATGACAAAGTGCAAGGTTGGTTTAACATTAGAAAATCAATGAATGTGATTCACAATATCAAAAAGATGATCATCTGCACAGATTTGGAAAAAACATTTGACAAAATCTAACATCCATTTCTGATTTAAAAAAAAAAAAAAAACCATTCAGCAAACTGGGAATAGAAGGGAACTTCCTTAGCCTGATAAGGGGCATCTACGAAAACCCTACGGTTAATGTCATATTCAATGTTGAA